CCAGCGTACTTCACCGTGCTTATAACTTAAACAAAACTGACCAAGAACTTATCCAACGTATGCCAGCGTTTTTGTCAGATATATCGTATGTCAGGCCTATGCTGGCTAAATCATCAAGGCGTAGCAGGGGCTTTAGGAACCATCACCATAATCAGGGTGTTTTGGGTAAGATCAGGCAGTAATCGGCATGATTATTTTGTCATGTGAACCAGGTGTCTAGTCTTTATTTTTATTTTTTATTTTGAAACCTAAAGTTTTGGTGACAAGAGGAGATTACAGATTGTTTGAGAAAAAATAAAATGAACTGCAAACTCTAACACCAGGATTGATTCACTGTTAAATTTTCAAATCATTAGACAACTGCTTGGATTAGAAACTAAGCAGTCATGTTCGTGTGGTTAACACTGTGGCTTCTGGTTGAAGACACACCACTTTTCCATAGATACTCTCTTTGTTTTTATATATAACTGGCTTATAGCCAATAAAATATATTCTTCAAACTTTTTAGGCATTTCAAGTCACTGGAAAATGCAACTATTTTATGAGACTTGAGATGTCAAAACATCAAATAAGTAGCCTAAGCCTTCTTCATGTTGAAGTATCAAGAGAAACTGAAACCAATAAAAGTTTGATATGATCTGTTTGCTTTTATTCATAGCAGGAAAATGACTATATTTTATCAGACTGATATATTATTGCAGCTATAATAATATGACTGTAATTACTGACCTCAACTGTGCTACATTAATTAAATTGATTACAGGTTTTCAGGTACATATTGTACTTATTAAATGATCCCTTTTTGTTATTTCTGCTCTTTATAGAGTAACACAGCTATAATATCCTAATCTGAGCTTGTTAACGAGTCAGGCATAATCTGCTAACAAATTGATTCGTTAGTTGTTTTAAAAATGGTATTACCCTAAAAAGGAATGATGGGTGGTACTGCAGTGGTTTCAGTGCCAAAACTTTTTAATGAGTGGAAATATTATCAACACCTAGTCTATTTGTTTGTATGGGGAAACTGTAGTAGCCCTCTTTTACATGGCTCTTTGCCTGCATGTATAAACATAATTTAGAAAGAGTTAGTGCTTTGTTACTCTATACTCCGTACAGCTGGAGAAAACTTCAGTCAGTCCTGCTCTTCCTCTGGCTTTTGTTTGAAGGACTTTAAACTGTAGAAGAGGGTTGATGAAACATTGAAGTGGTTTCAAAACAGAAACTCGATAAGCCTCGGTATACCTTGATACCAGAAACTGGCCCTGGCCTTTGGTCAATACAACTGGATTTGCACAAGCTTTTTAGATACTGGGATGCCTTATCCACCAAACCAGTTTGAGTCCTTCACCAGTGCAGGAGCTTAATAAGCACCTGCTGTTTGAGTTTCCATGCAACAAGCCCTTGCTCTATTGCTAAAAACACTGCAATCCAGGGGCAGTTCTAGACAGGGGCCAACGGGGGCCAGTGCCCCTGTAGATCATGTTCTGGCCCCTGTACCAAAGACATAATACTAAAATAAATTCTAATGATATATGCACTGTAACAGACATGGTTACTGATGGGTCCTTTAGATCTATTTCATTTTTTTTTCTGTGAAAAATTCTGTTTTACAAATTATTTAAAAACAATAACATGATAGCTTTAGTGGTACTGAGGTGAGATCCCAGTTTTCATCTGCTAAATGTTTTACTTTTACAGCTGAATTTATCAGTTTTTCTTGAGTTCTAATTCTGACTTTATAGAAAACTTAAATTAAGTTAAAGATATGTAAAGTTCCTAAATTATGAATGTATATTGACCTAATATTCCAAATAATATCTTTATTTGATCTTTTAGACAGTTATATAGCTATATTTTGAGTTGCTTTGTTGCTATGCTAAGGGATTTGTATTTTGATTTTAACCATAATCCAAATGAACATTTTCAAGCCAAAAATATATATATTATCAGTTGGAAGACATAATTTTAATTAAACCTAATTTAATTGAAAAATTAACTTGCAGCTCTCTTAATATATTTGAATCTTTGTTTCCTGCTGCAATCCCCTCCAGAGGATCGAACAGCTTTCATGTTGTTTGGTCTGGTCTATAGTGAGCAGCAGTCAATCAGAGTGTTGTAAACACCACCTTTAAAACATTTACATTTTGCTTAGTTTGCCATTTTTCAAAATGCAAACAGAAAAACTGTAAGACTTGGAAGCGCTTATGAGCACCGCTGTTTGTCTTAGAGCAGCAGTAATAGATGAAGGTGAAGATTTGGGCTGTCCGGATCCGATATAAATATCGGATATCAGTCTGATATAAGCCAAAAAATTAGTTTGGGATAATATTGGCCTGCATCTTAAATCTCTGACATTGGCATGCTGATGGAACGCCTCTGCTCCTGTAGAAAGTTTCTATAACTCATTGATTAATATTAATGGGTCAGTTGTTCTCATACCTATTGTCTGATATTGTCCTCAGTTTTAATATCACTTAATCAAGCCTTTGCTAACATATCTTTATTGGTAAATTCTCAAAGCTGCAATATTGTAACCTGACTCCGCCAGATTTATTTGCTCCACATATCCATCTGGAAACCTTCCGTAGAAGTAATTTTGGGAAGGGGCGAAAATACTGGTTAGCTGATTGGCCTATGTTGGTGATAGACGGGCCAAATAAACCAATCAGATCAACGAAGCATATGACGCACTAACAGAGCGACGACGAAGAGGAGCCAGTTGATAGATCAAACTCTTGCCGAAACCAGTCGGGAGAAGAGCAAACACATCTTTTCCTCTGAGAAAAGCCTCCAGAGCAGTGTTTTGCTCTTCTTTCAGTGAAGAAATACTCTGTAATTCCGGTAAAACTTGCTCGATAGTCACGCTAACGATAGTTTCATCGGCTGAAGCCGCCATGTTCTTTAGACTGAACTGTCGCGCTTCTCGTTGCGTCACACCTCAACCCGCCTCAAAGCCCACGCTGATTGGACGTTCGTTTGGTGAACGGCTCCATATTTTCTTCAACAGAGAGTCTACAGACTGATTAGCGAGTGAAGTCTTGAAAGCTTGCGAGATCAGGATGGTCTCACGAGGCTAGCAATATTGGTATATTGTCAGAAATGAAACAGTTGTATTGGGACTCCTGTAATGGTGGTTTTTATATTGTGTTTTTTTTTTGTGTGTGTGTATTGGGTTACATGGCATTATCACTGCCAGTGTACTGACATTTTATACACAATTATAGATTATAGATTTTATACACAATTATAAAATAAAATGGGGGAAGGATCAAGATCTAGAATGAGGCAAAGATAACTGACTCTGTGCACCAGCACCGCTTACGGACTAGAACTATTATGGCTTAAAGGCATTTGGCTTTAGTTTAGTTTTCAGCGGTAATTTTATACAGTTTTTTATAAACTTTTTAATGCTGCATTAAAACTTCCGAATAATACCAATGAGAATTAATGTTTAACTAACTATTAATGAATTGATGTTTAACTAACTAATTTAATTAACTAATGAGTTATTTAGCTGCGTGTTTTAAATTGTGATTAAATAATTTCTCCCAACCTGTTTTGGCTCCTCTAACAATTAAAGCACATATATGGGATATTATAGGGATATAATCACAATTCCTAAGATCAGACTAATCATGACGGAGTAGTCATGTTGGTTGTGAGTAAAGTCATGACGCTTTATAAAGTTATAAAAGCAGGTTAGTGAATCAGTACATATAAGGCATCAATATTTAAAACCCATACTATTGTATTGCCTTGGAAACAATTTATTTTCAAGTGTTTGTAATTAATACGGCAAAACAAGCTTTTTCCAAGAAGAACATAAGCAAATGCTGTAATTATGACAAAAAAGGTTAGCTGTTGTGTTCAGCTGTTTAGGAGGTTAGTGGCTTTGTGCATCTTTTCAGACTCCTTTTCAGTGTGGGGAATATAATTCACTTTTTTCCTCCCTCTTAATATTTTTGGTTAATTCCCTATTGTCTAAATTAGGTTTTTAAAAGATCCCTTTTAAACAAATCCTGACATGTACTCCTGCAGGGGGAGAGATGTTTCATTTCAGGATCATTTAAAATTCTTTTGATTTCAGTTGTTGATGAGCCTCCACGGTTGATTGGCAGGTGATGTCAATAATTCAATCTGGAAATTATTCCAAGCGGATTTTAATCCAGCAAACAGGGAATGGAGGATCTGTTGGAAGAGTAATTCTCGATAACGCAATAATCTGTTGGATACGCTGATCTATATCTCTGCCACTGGAGCCTGTAGCTCGCTGCCAGTATCAGGAAGATGACCCAGCCCACCAAGCTGCATGGTCTTGGTTTAGCACTTAAGGTGTCAGATGGTAGTTAGGTACGCTTGCATCTGTAGTGCAGCTCGCCCCTTTTCTCTACCTGCAGACTGTTGCCCTATGTGCAACATAGAGACTGACACGGGAGTGGATTTTCACTCCTGTCCCGTCCCACTCCCACAGAAAAAAATGGTGTCCCGTCCCGATCCCGGGCCAGAGTAGAAATCTAAATCCTGTCCCGTCCCACTCCTGGTGAAATTACTCCCACTCCCATCCCGCTCCCATTCAGAATGACTCCCGCTCCCGCACCACTCCCATTCTTGTTGTTTTTGAGCGCGGGTGAAAAACTCAGAGCGGAAGTTACTATTGGTTTGCTCCCGCTCCCGTCTGCTCCCGTTAATGTTTAATCCTGTACCGTCCCAATCCCGTGATCTTTACTAATACTGACTCCCATCCCACGGGAATCCCACGGGAATCCCATGACCCATGGGATTCCCGAAAAAATGTCAGTCTCTAACATCAGGCTGATCTTGAGTTCCCTGGAAAAATATTTCCTTCAGATAAAGATATTCAATCATTTTGTTGAATATTTATCTTTACATTGGGGTAGGTAATGGATTTTGTGGTCTGTTCACTTAGAAAGCAATCCATAGAGTTAAGGAGCACTATTTTTATGTCTCACCTCTTCATCTCTTCACCTTCCTCAATCCAGCTGCCTCCACCGATGATGACGTGGACCTGGAGCAGCTGGTGAACGACATGAACTCCTCGGTGGAAAGTCTGCAGTCCACCCAGGGAGAGACGGCACTTCTCTTAAACAATGGTCACGTGCACGCCTCGCACCACCAGCATCACCACCTGTCTGCTCATGTGGGATACAGTCAGATCCACCGCCGCCACCCCCCGTCCCTGCACCCTTCTCCTCCGTCCAGGGAGCAAACGAAGCACTCTCAGCCCATGCACATCCAGGCTGTCAGGTAAACACACCAAGCCTCTGGTATCTGTATGGATTTAACTGGATTCAACATAAGGACAACTGACTGCTTTGTGTTTCCAGCATTATTACTGAGAACCCTTTTGGCTACGTTCACACTGCAGCCTGAAGTGGCCCAAATCCGATTTTTTTTTTACCATATGCGACCTGAATCTGATCTTTTCATGGCAGTCTGAACAACACAGATCCGATTTTTTTCCAATCCGACCCAGGCCACTTGGCTATGTGGTCCTGAATCCGATACGAATCTGATCTTTTCAAATGCGACCTTTGTCTGAACGGCCAGGTCGCTTTCATCCGACCTGAACGTCATTAATACCCGACAAAGGTCACTATTCTGTGTCTTACTACGCAGAAGCGGCAAGAAAAATAACCATGGCAGATGATGATGCGGAGAGCAGTATTTATGTTTAACCATATTGAAAATATTGTGTTTTTATGGTTGGAAAAGACCGTTAGATGTGCGCCAGCACTACCATCCATGTTTACTACATGAAAAAAAGAGCATGCTGGCCTGTGAAATCATTGCGTCCTCTACTGCGCATGCGGGATACTTGCCTTGTCTGACTGCAGTTCACACAGGAGATCACATACAAGTCGCATATATTTGGAAATATGAACGGCAACGCGAAAAAAAATCGGATTTCACAAAAAAATCGGAATTGAGGATCAGGGCCTGCAGTGTGAACGTAGCCATTGTCTTTCACTTTTCATCCTTGCATGTATAAACCCAAATTGCAATTGTAAATTTACTGCTTTTAGATATTTCTGACAACACCGCATAAAAAAAAACGTAAAACATAATTTTATCGTCGTCTTTTAATTTATACCACTTAAATGTTTTAAAATGTTGCCTTGTAAAGCCACAATCTGGGATTTTATTGTCAATTTACCTGAAAGAAAAACAAAAAGAGGTGCATAACTAAGAGCGGAGAAATGGTCAACACTGAACATGTTTCCATTCAACTCTCGTGCAAATTTGGAGCGAATGTTGAAAAAAGAAAATGTGAATTAAATCTGTTTTTTTTTATCCATTGGAGCGAATTCATCAGACAATACGAAATGTAATGCCGGCGTTTGTGCAATGCATAACGGAACTCCACTCAGACATTTGGTTTATTCAGACACATTTTTAAAATCTTGCTTCTTTAAATTCTTTTATATCAAATTTAAGGCAAAAAGTTTTAATTAGTATTCCAAGTTAAATGTTTTTACAGAAATACTCCTAATTTCCGTTTGCACAGATGTTTAAACAATGTGGAGCTTTTACATTATTTGCTAATAAAGTTCTCTCAAACCTAAAGACTACAAGTTTTGGGGAAACTTAAACATAAAGGTTGACGGACTTTATAATATAAACCTTTTTTGATATGTTTGGTTTATCTCCTCCTCTGCGGGCTAATCCCAATCCTAGCATTGGGAATGAGAAACCTAGACCTCTGGTAAGGAGGTTTAATGATCTACTGAATTCAAAACATTTTGATGGCCAGACCTTCTTCTGTTTTGCATTTCCTGGATATATTATAAACGGTTCAGTTTACTTACTGAACAACAGCACACCTGTCTCTTTATGGCCTGTGGCAAAATGTAAGGAGGACTTCTTTTTGCTAACAAAAGTATATAATTTCTGGACTACACAGGGTCTGCCTGCTTTTCTTGATCTTCGGGATGTACTTTTAAAGGCCCCCCTGCCACATTACTTCAAGAATGCCTAGGCCATTAACTCACTCGGGTTTTGTACAAAGGCTTTCTAATTAAATTACAGCTCCCTGTTGGTTTATTACATATTGTGTGTTTTATATTTTGTTTATTTGCTGGTAAACTTGAGCTTTTTCTGTGTTTCCCACAGAAAGAATATATAAGAATATATAGGTACAATATTGCGCCTACATGGCATGAGTAAACAAAAGTAATTTCCCCAGTGAAGGTTGGGGAAAAAACAAAGTCTGAGATCAAGTGTGTACAAGCACAAAGAATATTAGAAGCAGGGATAAAATTTGGCATGAAATGTCTACATTAAAGCTGGAGCTTAAAGCCTGGAAGCTGCAAAGCAGATGGTTGCATCAGTAAGTTCCACCAGCAGGAGGCGGCATCGTACAACAATGTTTATGTCTGCTGATTGCAACAGGCGCAAAGATTATTTTAGGCCCAAAAAGTACTAAGTAAACACAATATTCTGGTATTTGGTGTGTGTGTGTGTGTGTGTTTTTTTTTTTTTTTTTTTTTAGTGCAAAAGGTCTGAAAATAAGTAAAAATGTCTTAAAAAAATATGCTCTTGAAATAAGACAACAAAGATGTTTTTCATTGCAGAACAATGTAAAGCCTTATATTTCACTGGCAAGTTGTCCCCCCTGCTCAAAACAAGGAAAGCACTCATTTCAGGACAAAATGTACTTATTTATCCTTCATTTTTGCCACTTTTAATACCATAGCATGTTACTGGACGCTTTGATGACCTGTAACAACCATCCTTCACCAAACAAGTGCATTCCGGCTAATATTAAACTACAAACAAATTAATTCTATTAGCTACCCTTGACTTTTTGAGGTTTTTATTTAAGCATTATGCTAAGTATGGATTTGCAAAGGGGATATGGATTTAGCAAAGATTTCACAAAAGACTAAATCCATATTTCTCTGTCTTTTTTTCTTTTTCAGAAGGCTTGAAACTCATGTATCATTTCCTTCCCTCTTTTAACCATGCACTGTTATTTTTGGCTCTATCAAATATAATCCCATTAAATACACAGATGTTTGATTTTTGGGACTTTTGCAAGGCACTTTATATCTGAAATGACCTTTTAATGTGTTATTAATGGCTAAGCCAAACCTTCAGAACATTCAGTGTTCAGGCTGTGATGGTTTTTTTTTTTTTAGATTACATCAGACTTGTGTTTTGTTGATTAGATTTCTCTCAGCTCATTTCCTGGTATACTCTCAGGCAGCAACAGAAATGAGTTTGTCTCCCTCTGCAGGTGTCTGCAGGAAGAGCACCAGCTGCGTCCAGCCTCCCTGCCGGCCATCCCCAACCCTTTCCCCGAGCTCTGCAGCCCAGCAGGATCCCCTGTTCTCAGCCCGATACAGACCTCCGACCGCCATGCAAGTACACCTTCACCACGTCATTTACTGCCATCACCACATTCAGTAAATTAGAATATTAAAAAGGTGGCATATATTAAACACTTATGTCCCTTTTAGTCAAATTTTATCATCACTCACATGGCAGTGTGTGTATCCAGATACTGCATGTCTGTGAGTTATTAGAAATCAGCTGAGTGGTCTGCTATCCTCAGGACAGACTAGTGTGTGTTGACTTTGGCTGTGTACCGGCGTTTCTTCCCTTACACAACAGCTCACCCTGGGTTATCTGACCCTGTGAGCGTGCTTACTGCTCCAGAGTCGTTACTATCAATCATGATAGTACAGACTGTGTTTTGCCGGGGTTGAAGGTGAGCCGTGTCACCAGGATGCTACAGATAGAGCACAGACTTCCGCCATAGAGCCAACAAGCCGAATGGGAACGTCTTCAAGTCGGATCTCCCTGCGCCTCCTGAATCCGTCAGCCGGATTCAGAAGGACAGACTCATTTCCGCTTCACACGCTCTTACCCTGGCTGTAAGTGTTAAGTGTGTGTGTGTCGCAGTCTTGCCTTTCCTTCCCTCCTGTTTAGCCTCCTGTTTCAGGAATGTTCCATCCGTCACAGATGTTTTCAGGATGCCCAACCTGTACAACAAAACTTGTTTTAGATGGCCACTCACTTGTTCCTGGCGCTTCGAAACACACACACACACGCACATGCACAAGTCCCCACATGCGCTATAATAGATCCTTGATAAGGCAAAGCGTTATTTTTGAGTTTTGTTGACATCATCTCACAAGGTCTGCAGTCACAAATCAAGTTAGCAGTTTGTACAAAGAATCCTTTGTGTGCCCGTGAGTCCCACAGCGAAGTAAATGTCGCCTCATGGCTTTCCCAGATTATCTTCGTTATGTCCACATTTTGTCCAGTTGACTATTGTCCTGTGTGCGCCAACAGAAAGGGTTTTATTTTTCCCTTAGATGTGTATTTAGGGTCGGACCTTCATTCTGGTTTAAGGAGGTTCCAGTATTCTTTCTAGACACTCGCATATTCAAACTGGTAATACCAATAACATCAGCAATAGATAAAAAAATAACAAAAAGGCCTGCAGGTTGTACAGAGTCTTGAATTTAAAGATATAGTGGAGGATTTTCGCGAACATTGAAAAGAGCCGCCCTCTCCACTTTAAATAAAATTGCACATGCACAACCCTGTATCCGCTGCCATGAGGGAACGGCTATTAAACATGTGTGAGAGCATGCATGCATGTGCCCATTTCACCTCGAGGATGTGTGGGGCACATTAAGGCGGTCGCTCGGATAGATCTCATATCACCCTTATTTTTATACAAAAAGTTTCCCCCCTAATAAGACTACTGGTACATAAAAAAAATCATGACATGCTTGTATATGTGTGTTTGCTGCAGTGGAAATTTGGACATGTTTGCAGGGTAAATAAGGATCTGTGGCCACCGTATAACTACTAACGATGCAAATTAAAGAACAAATAAACTTATCTTCCCTGTAAATTTACAATATAGAGGTATATAACTTTACTAGCAGGGATGTAAAAGGTATTTCTCCAAATAGCTTGTCAAACTTTACCTGTTGAGTAGAAACTTTGTAACCGCTGCATCAGTGGGAAGCCCGACCTGTGCTTTTAGTGTACGCCATCGCGTGAAAGAATCTCCCAAAAACAGTCTGGTCTTGTTTCTGTCTTCTTCTCAATCAGTTCATAGACACATTTTCTCTAATGACCTTCGGCCATTTTCAAAGAACCACGGTGAGACCCCAAGCATCTCCCTGAAATGAGTTTTTGGAACTTTGGAACTGATTGACGATTACGAGGACCACTTATTTTGATGATCCACCCGGATAAAGAACATCCTCCACTAACCCTTTAACCAAAAAGTGATGCATTTATGAATTCCTTAACATCGGGTTCATTGCTACCTGCTGATTAAAGGTTGTAAAGCAGGATCTATCTGCATGTTTTGTGTCAGCATATGCAAATGCAATAAGGGTTTGGAGTATTTAATGCTTTCTAAATATCCTTGCCATGAGTTTTAGACTATGTGAAGGAGGCGGTATGACTTTAACCTGCTTCTAGTTCAGCAGAAGCCGGGGTTCTTTAATATTTTTGTCCTTTCTTCCATCTTAATTAGAAGCACAGCTTCTATCCTCTCTTCCTGGTGCCCCTACCTCTGCCTTCCTACTGTCCTTTCATCCTAGTGTCCTTCCACAATTCCCACCTGTTGTTCTTTTTTCCTTTTTGTTCTTTTACACGTCTCTTCGTCCTTCAGTTTTCCTAGATTTTTTTTTAAATCTTTTTTTTTAACACTTATTCTTTTCCACCTTTGTTAACCAAATAAATTATTTTCTTGTGTCGTTTCTTCTTTCCTTTTCTTTGCCCTTTCTGCTCTGTATCTTTCCATTTTTTCTTCTTTTTTGTATTTATGTGCTTGGGTCCTTGTATTGTCTCTCCTTACTTGTGTAATTTATTCTTTCCTTCCTTATCTTCATCCTCTCTTCTTTGTTTCTCATCCTCCTTCCTCTTTTTATTCATTTTTTTTTTTTACAGATTTCATGCTTTCAGTCCTACAGTAAAACTTTTTTTTATTCATATTTAAAGTTAATATTCTATAAAAATTAAAATCAACACAGAGGACAGAGAACTCTGGAAAGCTTCCTGGAAAGTCTGGAATCTAAACATTGTGTAGAAAGTGAAAGAATGTTGATTTCAACCTTCGACATACTTAATGAACCGCAGGCCCTAACCTGCTTCTCATCCCCCCACCCTTCATATTTTACCTGAAACACACTTAGTTTGCATTTGTTGCAATGCTCATGGTGTTATGCAATCATCAAATCAGCTGTTCTGGATCAGGAACACATCTAAACATAAAGGCTTATGGGTCACGGTTAGGGACTTAATGCACACATTGACCATCCAAACCACTATATATGTTCAACCCACTGCATCACCACAACCCAACATATCAGCTACTGCTAACACAGATATTAAGACAGTGTTGTTTTTAAAATAGAAATTTTCTAAATTTTGGCACAATATGATATTACCATTTATATACATGCTTAAGCCAGAATGAATTGACATTTAAATATGACTTCCCTAAGACCTGAAGCAAACTTATCAGGTTCCAAAACCCTTTAGTCAGACAACTTTAATTTACCATTCACTGCGATTCGACAAAATTCTAAATACCGAAGACGCAGATAAACTCGTAAAGTCCTGCCAATAGATGGCGATGGTGTACAACAGTGTTTGCTGATTGTGCCCTGGTGCAAAAATGTTCCCCATGCTCAAAAGGTACCAAGTAAACAAATCAGGAAGTTCACTTTATTGTGAGCATGCGTTTGTGTTATGTGTTCTCCATAGGTAAAGGATTTGCCCCTTTACTAAATCTATGCCTAAGATGTTCTACGACTTTGTTTAAGCGAAGTTATAAAACAAAAAAAAATTAAACCATCACTAATCAAATCAGATGATTGCTGCGCTGGTGATTCATTACCCAATAGCTCAGTTGCTAGCAATGTAGAGCTGTGGGATTGTAGAATTAAGCTACCAGCTGACCAACAAACAGATCTATAAATAATTTATACTTATGACATATGAATGTAGACAGGACACACGTATATGTTCCTGCTCATGATCTGGTATTTTTCTCCTTGAGCTATATTTGAACTTCCCTATAAACATTGTTTTAAAGGCCCTCAGAGTGATGCACACCCTCCTTAATGAGCTAATAAATCAGTGTGTGTTTGACTTCACTGGATTATACTTAGCATTCCCTTTGACTGTTTTTGACTGGAGGGAATTTAAAGCTCCATGTACCAGGATGATAACATCTATGTCTGAAGTGCCAAACTGACTTTGGTTGGAAGTAAAGTTTCACAGGTTAAGCTGTTCCTCATGCTTAATTCTTATGAGGGCCATTTCCCATGAAATTTGTGCCAGTCTCGCAACATTCAGTTGAGTCATGTTCCCCCTGCCTTTCACGGGGATTTGGTCAGGTCCCATCTGTCATCGTTGAGCAAATGCGTTTGCTTTGGCACAGTGGCTGTAACGCAACTCAAGCTTTTAGTTGTGTCCAGAGACGGTATCATGAACATCAGGGTCAGAGGGTTGGACCCAGTAGATAAATATACATTTAGTCTCAAGCAAATGATCTGGATTAAAGCCATGTGTATCACCAAGCCTTCTGAAGTAGCCTTGAGCAAGACACTGAAATTCATCCAGATTTCTGCTCTGCAGCTGACCCTGACATCTCACGTCCGTAGGGATGGATGGTCTTGGATGTTCATTATTTGCTCTGTGGTTCGTTTCATATAATTACAGCTTTTAAAATCTGACAGTAATTAGAGGAAAGGTGGCCCTTTGCAGATGTATTCTTTGGCTTTGTGCATTTTCACATTTTCTCCCATTAAAACCAATAACTCTGATGTATTTTGCTCGGATTTCATGTCATAAACCAGCGCAAAGATGTTCAGTTATTGTGAAGTGAAAGGTAAAAGTTGCATGATTTAACTTTTTCGCTTTAAAAAAAAATCCAGTGCAAACTTTTACAGTAAATATTAATGCACCTGGTTTTATTTCTGAACATTAAAGAAGCTGATCTAAAAACATTCCTTGCCTTTAAGATTTCTAATCTCTATAATTTGCTCCTCATCTTGTAAAAACCCAATAATTAATATTTCTCTTTTGGGTGTAATGGGGGGAAAATAGAAAAAAGTTTAAGGTGTAATATTGAGTTTGCAGGGCTGTTTTGGTCTTTGCAGAAGCTGTAGGCTTCGAGGGATGGTGGTCTGCTAATTTCACTGTCGCTTTAAGCAATTACAAAGTTTAATAATGAACATCGTCAGAGGAAATACTACCTGTCCAACAGTGTGTGTTTAAGGCTGCATTCATTAGTCTGAATTATGAGTTCTGTCATGCTAATAATGAATGGGAGACCTGTTTTGCTATTAAGCTGATGACCTCTTTTGCCTTATTGTGAAAC